AATGCATTACAATGTATTTATATACCCGGGATTATTATTTATTATTATGATATTATTTACAATGATAATGATATTATTAAATTCTATATGAGGTAAATAATAAATTCATTATATATTTAATAATACTTTTTTTTCTTTTTTTTTAGATGAGTTTCGATACTATACAATATTGAGAAGTAAGAAAAAAAAATTTTTACATATTCAGTTGAGTTGAGATAAGTTATTTTGAGAAAAAATAAATACTATCAGTTATTATGAGTATGAGTATGAGTACTTTTGAGATGAGATGAGTTGAGTTATGAGTGTTATTAGTGTGGGTCAGAGAACTACGTTGTCTGATACAATAGGTAGAGGAATTTTGCCATAGCGAAGCAGTGTAGTGCTAGAGAAGGCCTCTATGTGTCGTTGGTCCCTATCGTTAATACAGTATACCTTCGGCCATTGCCCTACCAGTCCGGCGTGGTCCGCCTGTGGTACCTATGGCATCGACAAGGGATCTCTCCCTTGTCGCGCGCGCGCGAATAAGCCAAAATGAACCGAGAAAAATCGAAACGATTAGCAATGTGAATAAATTTATTAAGAAAATAAAACAACAATTAGATTTTCTTTCTTACATTGTCAATCGCGTTTCTCACCGATTGAATATGAGGATGGCTAGGTGGAAGTGATTTTTGCCAGATAGAAAGTGCCTTTTCTAAGAATGAGAGTGCTTTTGAGTAGTCATCTTTGCCGAAATACGCCAAACCGATATTGTTGTAGGAAGTAGCCAATGAGGGATGATTCGAAGGCAGAACTTTTTCTCTTATTTTAAGTGCTTTTTCGTAAAATTCAAGTGCCTTCGAGTAGTCACCCATGTCGTCATATACTCCACCGATGTTGTTGTAGGAAGTAGCCAAATCGGGATGATTCGAAGGCAGAGCTTTTTCGTCGATTTTAAGTGCTTTTTCGTAAAATTCAAGTGCTTTCGAGTAGTCACCCATGTTTTTATACACTTGACCGATGTTGTTGTAGGAAGTAGCCAATGAGGGATGATTCGAAGGCAGAGCTTTTTCGTCGATTTTAAGTGCTTTTTCGTAAAATTCAAGTGCTTTCGAGTAGTCACCCATGTCGTCATATATGTAGCCAATGTTGCCGTAGGTAGGAGCCAATGAAGGATGATCTTCCGGAAGAGTTTTACGCCGAATTTTGAGGGATTTTTCGAGAAATGAAGCTGCGTCTGCGTATTCCCCTCTATCTTTTTTCACACATGCAAGCTGGTGATAGATATGCGCTTTATCACTGTCGTTGGATGTTTGTTCTAGTAGTGCTGTATATAATTCTTCGGCCTCGTTGAATTGACTAATTTTGAGCAACAATTTACCCATTCGATACCATCCAGTGCTACCTGAAGATTCTTCTCGTATACGATCGGTTAATTGACGAAGTTGTTGGTCATCATCCGACGTAAGTTTAAGGTCCACTTGATAAAGTGGACTTTTCTTGTCAAGTTTTCGAACTTCATCAATTCGAAAAACGGTGTGCATCGAGAAGAGAATTTCCTCCTCGTCCTTGTAATAACTCACCTCCTGGATGGAGGCGAAAGGAGTCGATGAGACTGTGGGATCTATTGTCATTTGAAAAAGGATACCAACCATATCGATTGTTCCTAATGCATCTTTGGCGAAACCGAGGGAAACATCTCGTTTTGTACTGGTGGATAAAAAATTGTTGAAAGATATGAAACCACCTTTGTTTTTTGCAAGTTTTTCGAAGTCACTTGTCGATAATCCTTGACCCCTATAAACTAGAAAGGACTTTCCATGATATTGACTGACCTGTTGGTTGTGTAATTCTTCAATTTGTCGATGAACATCGCACATGAAAAATCCCATTTGGATGATAATGTCGCCATCTAATGTTCTTAATGCTCGATTGAGCATTTTGTATGTGAAGCATTGGCGTGTATACCACCATAACGCCAATGTTGGATGATAGGTACGTTGAAATTCATTAATTAATTTCAGTTCCTTGATATTGCCTTCGTATTGTTCTTGGCAATATGTGACCAAGTCTTTAATGGCTTTTTGACCATGTTCCATATCAAGGAGTATTTCCTTGAATATTTGGGTATACATAAAAGAAGGTTCTAGCTGATTGAGATTTTCGCTAGAACCTCCTTCGTTGACACCGATAATACTGACTGTAACTTGATCTTGATTACATTGTCTTATAGCCATTCCCAGTTTTTCACAGATGTGCTTGATTGATGTATGCACACCTTTAATTTTGGGCCAATTTTTAGCCCATTCTTGGTGGCGTTGTTTGTTGCCACAAAAGATATATATGGCATCCAGTTTTGGCATGCCATGAATTTCTGGTACTAGGTGTTGTCCTAATGCACCTGAGGAGATGACAAATGATGTCTCCTCATTGTTTTCCTGGAGTTTCTGAATGCATTGGTCGGCCGTGGTGCATGGGTTGACTTCATTAATAACACTGCGCAATTGCGCGAGTGTATTCTGGCAATCTTCATTTGCCATGTCAATAGCACCATCGACCCAGATGACTAGGTAATTTTCAGCCATTCGTAGTCGTCGTTGTCTACTCATTTTCGATGTTGTTTTTGACGTTTGCTCGACGATTGAATATTGTGAAGGATCAATTGTTGTTTGGATAGAGACCACTGTTTTCTATTTATACATTCGATATTGGATGTTTTTTTTCTAGATTATTCTATGACGTCAAATATGGGTGCGTATTTTTTTTTCGTTGATACTTTAAGATAAACCCCACCTACTTCCAATTGAAAATATGCTTGTCAAAAGCAAACCATCCAACAACATAATTTATTTTTATGGTTATTCTTTCCAACTTTAGTTTGCTCTTTTTTTATATTAACTTTTATTGTCCCCATAAAATGAGATTGACAATAGAAGATAAGAAGAAATTAAGCGTTAGTAAATATAATGAGAAGAATGAGATACCAAGAAGAACGATACAAACACAATAAGTAGAGGTATCATCATCATAAATTTGGAGGCTAGTACGATTTTATGTTGGGATGTGTGTGCCTTGGTAGATGGATTTCCGAATGTGAGTATGGGTGGATGTGGCCGTGGGTGTATGGTGTGGATTGGTGCTGGTGGATGCGGGTGTGGCTGCAATTCCGGGTGGGCGTCGATGTGGGTTGGTACAGCTGTAATTATTAGTAGTGGATGGCTATGTGGGAGTGTGGGTGTGAATGTGACAGCGGAAGCGAGTGACGTGAACGTGTTTGTGAGTGTCGATGTAGGTGCGGGTATGGGTGGATATGGGTGTGGGTGTAGGTGTGGGTGTGAGTCTTTTCTTCAACAAGCACGCCCACATCCACCGACACCCACACTCAAGCAACATCCACACTCTTACCCAAGCCACACCCACAGTCAAACCCTCATGCCTTCATCCTTCTTCAAGTTAAAAACCTTGTCGATCATGTGAAACAGTAGAGTAATGGTTACAGTTGGCGTGAATGATGTCAGGCCTCTTCACGCCCTCATGTCAAGATAGATAGCGTCTCCTTGTAACTTGTATTTTGAAAATTTCCAATCCTTTCGAACAGTCATTGATTTTACTTTTTATCTTATTTCGAACGATACTCTTGTACGACTCATTTCATTCTAGCTCTTTGATCATTAGTAAGTCGACTACAGACTAGAATTCGACAAGGTCAACATCAAAATTACTGAAGAACGAAGTTCTCCAACGGATGCACGCCGTTTTTGTTGATATTTTGCCCAGATGTATAGTTTGATGACACTAGAAAAAAGCCTAAAAAGATAACAGCCCATAGGCCTTCCTTCTCAAGTTATGATTATTTTACTTGATTTATTACCTATGACAAGGGATTCAGAGAAAAATCAGCTTTCATGTACATGCAGGTCTTATGACCTATATATTAAGCTCAATGTTGCAGTCAAAACAAATGCTTCTGTCGTGAAATATTGATTTTTCCATAGAAGTCGATTTTCCTGACATGTATGTAGCATGTTAATGTTTTCTCGATAACGCAATATTTCGAGAAAGAGGCGTTCGCTTTGACTGGAACTTTTAGGGTAATATATAGGCCATAAGACTTGCATGTGGACAAAATTTCAGATCGAAATTTCTCAATTTAATTTTTTGCTGAATCCCTTGTCCTAGGTGGTAAACCAAGTAAAATGATCATAACTTGAGAAGAAAGGCCTATTGACTGTTATTCTTTTAAGTTTTTTCTAATCTCATCGAACCCTACATATAGGCAAAATATCAACAGAAACGGCATGGATCAGTTGAAGACTTTTCCTTGAGAGTCCTGTACCATTACGAGCTTTTCGCAAAGATTCGCATTGGTTTGAGAAATGAACTTTTCAAAAGTTTTATTTTTGTGTTGTTTGATCACCAATCAGTTAACAAGTCTACAATGAACATATTATGTATTCAAACAGGCTCGATAAGACACCAGGAATCCTTGTTTTGTTTTTTAACAATGATACAGTATGTCGTTTGTGTCACAGGAGTCAATCGCAGAAAGAGAGAAAAAAGTTGGTTGGCGCACATGCTTTTATTCTTCTTTCACGGAAAGTCGATGACTTTGCACAAAACATACTTGAATAGCAGTCTTCACTTGCATAATAAATATTTGACAAGAAAATGAAGAACAGAGCACTTTGTTAGCTGTCACCAGTGGATTTTATCCAACTTACAAATAGAACAACACAAAGTCAATACACAGGTGAAGTAACGCTGAATCAGCAAGTGTTGATGGCTGTTGCAGTGAGGAGCCAGGCGGACATGTGCGAAAATATTCTTTTCTAGAATCTAACGATTTGCGTAGATACATGCATATGTGATCTATTATTTCCTAAAATAGCGGTTCTCAAAGTTTTATAAAGTCCAAGAAAAGAGCTCGCCAAGGCTTGCGCTCCAGAAATCAGCATCAATAAATAAAATCAAGCTGCTAGGCAATATGAAACAATATTGCACAAGCAAACAATATCACAAAAAGCTTCCTCATGGGTAGATCTTATATTTAAAAAAAAGTGATCCAAATTCAATTTAAAATAGAGTAGAAGACAAAGGATCTGGATATCCAAAACCTATCTGAAAACATCTCGTTCCATATATTGTAAGCGCTATAAAGAGAAAACGTCGAATCGAGCGCGCATTTTTAGCAGGCGCTCTTACATATGTAACCTACTTATGGTAGTGGCGCAAACTCATAAAACCTTTCCTAAGCTATTTTACAGTAGGAGATCCGACTTTTGGCACTGATATTAGTCTTTGAAGAAAAACTATGGTGATATTCGGAATGAACGCATTACACTACTTCGAGTGATATGTAGCTCAACATATTTTTCAAAACAAATTTTTTTCGGAAAATTATAGCTGAGGTACTCGCCAGCCAGATTTTTTCGTAAATTTTTTTCTTAAAAACTTCCTGTTTTCTTAAAGATGATTCTCTGAATGATATATGGTTATTTCTGAGCAAAAAAATTGTATGTTCATATCGGTCAAAAAATACGAAATACTCGAAAGGTGTCATTTTTCGAGCAAAACACATTCTTTCTCGAAATGTGTAAAACTTTCTACTTTATTCTTTTTTTTGCTTCTGAAAATAATTTTTTCAGATTCAGCATCAAAAACTAAATAGGAACAAGTTCTTAAATCAACTCTAGGCTCAAAACTCTATTGATGGTGGCGGTTCGGATCGGGTCGAGTGCATCACGTATAGGTCGATTTTGTAAACCTATCTAGTTTTTCTACATAAGCGATGGAATCAAATATTTTATCTCATTCGACTCATCATACTACCAATCACAAAGTTACGTATCCTTTTCCTTTCTTTTCTTTGTTGAAAAAATCGGTTTGACTGAAATTTGGTCAAAATAGCAAGGTTTTTGCCAGTAATTCTCAATTTTCTTCATCAAAAGTTAGGGCTTATACAAAAAGAATACCATATTAGGAATTAGCGTAAAATACTGAGTCGATTGATGTATATTTGAATCGTGTTCAATAACTTCAGTTTTTTTCGAGTTTTCACCGGTTACGGTGACTGGAAATTTTGCCAAAAAATCAAAGATGACGAAAAGCCGAGAAACATACATCAAAC